AAATAAATACTAGATGATAATAAATAAACAATCTACTACGCCTCTCTAAACCCCGTGTCACGGAACCCGTGACACCAATTCGTGGTTATGTATTTTTCTTCGAAAAATTTAGCCAAATTGCAAACAAAATAATTGAAATTCCATTCAAAATCTCTTCCGTCGAACTTTTCCAATTTTCTTAATTTGAAAAGCGACAACTCCACCTAGTAACAATCGATCAACATAATGAATCATTTTCAATAAATTTATGTATTTATTTAATAAAAATTTTTTTTTAAAAAGTATTTAATAGCCTCATAAATTTCCATGACAAACTCTAGATATAATGTACAAGTATCGGAAAAGTTATTAAAAAATTTGAACAAAATTTTTTTTTTTATATAAATTTATGATGTAAAGATAATATCAAAGCTATTTTAATAAGCTTGAAGGTTTTTATCATTGAATACAAAGACGACATGAAGATATTGGTGAACTTTATTTTACATGTTTTTAAACGTGAGTATAAAACTAAGTTTTTTAGCGAACTTGAATTATAATAAGTTTGATGTTTACATTAAAAGTTGACCTAAGTTATCTTTAATTGGCGAAAATTAAAGAATGTCTCGGTCAATTAATAATCTACAAAATCCATAGTTGAGAGAAATGAGTACGAGTCAGAAGTAAAATACAAATTTTACGTTAGTTACCTTTAATCATTTGAAAATTGCGAAAGTATTTTATGTTATGCTATAAAAACTTTGGCATTATTAAATTGCAAAATATTATACGTTAATGTTAAAGACAGAAAACTTGATATATGTAATATCTTTATCATCATTAATAGTCGATCTTCTAACATACAAGTATGATTCTCTTTATACGTACTTATAAGTATGATCCTCTTTATACTCATAAGTATGATAAGTCTTATTATTAAATATACATGAGTATAAAAATGTAAAGCTTTACTATGCTACTATTGTTATTTTTCATGCTATACTTCTTTATATATTACTCTTATTTACATACTAAATTAACATGAATAAAAAAAATAGATGAATAACTTATCTTAAAACACTCGTTTAATAAATGATTATTACACTTAATGCAAATGAAAAATCTGTCGGTAAAATGGGTTGTCGGAAAAAGTGCATTCGAAAAAACTTAGTGTCGGAGAAAAGTCAAATTAGAAATATGTCTTGTCAGAGAAATGTCTGTCATAAATATGGGATGTCGGTAAAGGAAGCTGTAGAAGATATGTCATGTTGGTGAAATATTCTGTCGGCAAAAAGTGCTGTAGGGGAAATATTCTGTCGGGGATATAGTGTCGGGAAAATGAGATGGCGGGGGAACTAGCTTTCGGGGAATCAAGCAACAACCGTATGTATATATGTATTCACGTACCTCAGCAGCATTACCAACGATTGGTAACAAAATTAACCCAACAAAAGTTTTACTTAACCCCAAATTGGCGATTCCTTCAATAGAATCGATAAGATAATCAGAAGAAAAAGTAACAATTATTGTAATGAAACCTAGTAAATATACAGAAGCTACAAAAGATAGTTCTGATTCTTCTTCACGGTATAAGTGAGCATGAGTTTTCAACTATAAAAAAAATTTTTCGATAATTTGTCACGTGATAAATATATAATTGAAGTCTTTTTTGAAATACCTGAAAAAACCATAAATAACCAACAACACCATCGCAGTTCCACGGCTCAAGTTCAGAATATGATCATGTCTCTATTTACACTAACATCTTGATCACTACCCTCGAAATGAAATGCTGCAGGTATAACCAATCCAATGCAAGCT